AAATGCCTAATTTCTAGAAAGAAGAAGAGCCATATTTAAGATATCTTACCAGGACTGACATATTTAAGTAAGAAACTTAAACTATTTATAAAACAGATGCAAATAACATTTACTTATCTTTGAATGGAAAGATCTTAGGAATATTTTTTGCCATCTGTGAAAATGAAATCAGGGAGTTGAGAATGAATTATTTGAGAACTATAAGAAATAGATGGCAGGGATGTAAAATCTTTCATAAAAATAAAGATACTAAGATAGACAGGACACCTGCCAAGATTTTATGAAAATGCCCATCTCAGATGAACTTTATCAGTCAATACTTGTGGCCAATAGAAATAAGGGTAAACCAAAACGGAGGTAGAAAGATGATATAGCAAAGGATTTGATGATGATTGGCACAGCAAATTGGTAATCATCAAGCCTCCACTACATTTGCAGTAGAAAAAATGATAATTATAATTGTATTATAAGTGCATGTAAGATAATAATTACGAAGAAATGGAGAAATTTGGGAGTGTAGTTAAGGAAGCAATACAAGAACTAGGGTTTATTCTAGAAGAAAGAAAATAAGTAAGACACACAACCATAAACTACTTAAAATTTACAGGATGTCCATTTTACCTCTTCATGAACAAAAAAATGGATAAAATAAAAATAACTTGTTTTTCTGTGTGTTTCCAATACAATTATACTTGCAAAACATCACATTGTATTTCACTTTATATACCTATCTGCTGATAAAATTATTTTTATTATAATGTAATTAATTTTTATTTCATTTATATTACATTTTCCTATCACAGCATTGTGTCGTAAGATATGTATAGATAAAAACCATGTTGTGTGACTTTCAGTAGCTATCTGTAAGTACTAACTAATGCACAAATTATATCAAAGAACAACTAAAAATAAATGAAACATAGGTGATGAAAAAAACAATGAAATGTGTCAAAGAGAACCAGAATTTAAACAGATAGCCAAGCAGCTATTCTGGCCATAAATAACCCAATCACACAATCAAAACTGGTGAAGAACTGCAAAGATCTCCTCAACAACCTGGAAAAAGACAACAAAGTGTCTATGTGTGTTGACTTATGAAGGGGTGCATGAAAATGTATAGATTGATTGGTAAAACAAGGCTCCAGAGAAACACTTGTAGGTCCAGAACCTTCATGTGACTGGATATTGTCATTTAAAAAAAGGTCTGGACAAAATAGGTAAGGTGAATGAACCATGGTGCATTAAATGCTAAATCTACAAATAAAATAACTGTTGGCCTTCATTGAGGCAACAAGAATTACTGGAGCTAATTACTTAATGAAAAAAAAAACAGCTTATGGTACAAAGACCAAGTACCAGAGATAAATGTCTACCGCCTGAATTAAGAAGAGCTTGGTACTACTTATATGGTAGGACCTTATCACCCCTCAGTCTACATTTCAATTTAACAAGACTGAGACTAACTTTAACTACAGCTTAATCTTCATTCCAGCCAGAGATTTCTGAGACTTTAAGATAAGAGTGGTAAGCTTTGGATCAAGATTTCATATTATCTCTGGCTCTGACACACCTAAAAGAATGTAGGCATCCTAAAGACCTAAATGGAGTTCTATAAGGTATTATATAAAGGACTCATGAAATATGCGATATGTTTGCCTTTTATTAATAAATTATTTAATTGACAGAATTTTGGTGATATTTTTATCTTCATGACAGTGTTAATTTTATTTTTTTTGGGCCAGACTTTATTTATACAATATAATTTAAAAAAAATATTGCTTATAGCTTATTATTTTTATAATGCCATTATCAACTCTGAAAGGCACATACATGTTTACAATAAATTGGTAAGTCTCCTAGAAGAAATCCTAGGTGTGATCACAGTGGCTGCAGTGGAACCCACCCTAACATTCAAGGGGCACAAAAGAAATATTCTCTAAAAGATAACTCATTAAGATTAAGATATTAACTCATAAGATAACTCAACAAAAAATTACTTTGACAATTAAAAAATATATATGGGGGGAAATTGTGTGCAATTTTCAGCATTGGAACCCAGACTAAAAAACTGGCCATGTCTATGATAGAAATAATTTTATAGACTGCAAGCTCATGGGAGAACTGTAATGGGTCATTTGACCCAGCATATATCACATATAAAACAATACTACAATATGTAATAACTTTAGAACCTCAGTACAGGTGAGTCACAGGTAAGATAATACAAAAATAATGTCCTGCGATCTAATTGGCCTAATGATGTACAAAAATATTGGTACAGTACCCATCATAAAAAACTGGTACACTTTTTTCCCAATGTAAACCTGTGTTCAGACTTGGCTCGTGAATCAATTTGTTGTTGCCATCACAGATAACGGAATTGCACTAAATCTAAATAAAAAAAGAACATTCAAAATTGTTTAAAGATTTTATATAGGTATTCCTATTATCATTAACAACAAAAAACCATATCTAATAAATTTAATAACCAGAGAGAGGGTTGAGTTAATGCCCAAAATGTTTAAAGGATCTTTAAACATAGGATATTGGCACAGGGAACATTGGAATGCATCTACTGTAATTTTATAATATATCTGTCACATAGCCCTCCCTTTAGCTGATTTGATACAATATTTTCATTGAACTGGCAATGTTGTCCTAGAAATTGAAATGACATATGTGACAAGATCAACTTACACAACTTGAAAAACATGATTTTCAGTTATAAGAGTTGTACCAGTTTTGTATGATGCAAAGGGTACCAGGAACAGGTAATTTGTTATTTTTAGAAAGTTTCATTCATTTATACACAAAGTTTCCAATCAGTTTAACTCATTAACTATTTTACAATGCATTACATTTCAGCTTTATCAAGGGTGAGAAATCTAAGATACAACCCTTAATTTGAACCCCCATGCTTTGAGTACAAATAGTACCAAAATTGAGTACCAAAATTGTATTCTATCTTGATCCTATGAGTGAAAGAATATCCTATAGACAGCTACTCATTTATGTCTCTAGTCAAGAACCAATTTAGATCTAAGTAAAAAAAAATCAACAAGAAAATAAAAATAGAAAGGATATCTACTTAATCTAAAAAAAAAAAGTTTAGAAGAGAAGGAGGTAAATATTCATTACATTCATATTCTTGAGCTATACTCTAAATCTATTAAAAGGCAGTTATGATGACAATAATTGATTTAGAATCAACAATATAATTGGAATCCAGTATTTTTACTTTCAAACAAAGTTTTTAGACTAAGAATTGTGATATTGGCACACAACTTCTCATATTCTCAAATATTTGAACAGTATTTATAAATTTCTTGTGTTTATTAAACAATTTCCATTCACTGAAGGATGTTTTTATAACCCACTTAATAATGTTGTAAACATGTGGGTACCTCTACATAATAAATGGCAAAAAGCTGATTCAACAAAACAGTATTTTAAAAATACAAACCTATAAGTAAATTATATGAGTTGAAATGATAGTCAATAGAAGGTTGTTAAAAATCCATATCTATTAAAATTACTGTGTTTGAGGCCTGCATTTACTTAAAGAAATTAATAAATATTGGATGCATAAATCATGCATCATAAATCTAGTAAAAAATAATGTTCATGTAACCTTCTGGCTAACACTAGACCTTAGTAAAAAGTAGTTAAACCAAATAAGAATTCAAAATAATGGAAACATTTTGGAAGAAATGTAGGAAACTGTTAAGTATCACAAAAACAAAGTATGAAAACAGAGACAACTGATTGTCAATCTGATGCATGAACACTATGGATAAGAATTTAAATATTTTTTACTCAGTTCAGAATTAAAAAGGTCTTTACAAGTTACATTATAAGTAGGAACATCATTTTTATGTTTTTATTATGGTCCAACTATTATCCTACTATCTATTAACATTACATTTTCTTTTCATTTTCTGTACCTATCTTTTCATCTATATATGTAATCTACTTAGCTCTCCATATTACATTTTGTTTGCATGTGAAATTGCTAGAATTATTAGTAAAATATTGTACAGCAGGTAACTGTTATTCTAACTACAACTGAGGAGTACTTTTTATTATCTATAATTAAAAAGATAATACTTTAAACAAAAAAAAAGTCAAAAGAGACTGTGATGATATACATTCATTGTTTATGAATGATGAAAGTACCCATAAAAACAAATATAATAAGAACCAAATGGCCTATGCAGGTTGTGTTTGAACAAATGTCTAAAAAAAAAACAAATATATTTGAAACCAACATAGTGGATCATAAAGTATAAAGATATCATTCCAGAATTAAAGAAATAAACAAACACAAACTCATTCTAGAAGTCTTTGTTAACAATCACTGACAATCTTTGTTCTAATGAGGCATTTAAAAGGTAACTAAAATTTTCAAAAAAATGGTAAGCTAAGATTTTTGATCAATTAGATGTCTTTTGTAGAGTAAATTGGATATCCTTAATTTTGATTGAAATCTTACAAATTGCTCGACTTTCAACAAAACTTTAATTCATTATTTGTAAAACATTTATTGGATTATTGGCAACAAACCACACTGTTAGAGCAGCACTGGAAAGAAAACCATTAAAAGTACATATTTGTTTTGTCAGTGTATGGCAAAGAATGTTAACCTATAAATCTTAATTTTACCTATTAAAGTATCTTTAACATTTTTGTACATACAGTGGTTTTATCTATTCACCCACTGCTATCTTTATCTAGGAAATTCCTAGTAATGACATGAAAGAATGCAAGACATTTTCTACATTACAATTATAGGTATTTAAAGATAAATGAAGATCTTAACTACTCTTAGACAATAATGTAGTTTGTGAGTGTCTACTTGAAACTAAAGAATCTTTTGGTATCTCTATGGATTTTACTTGCATAGTAAAACAAACATAAAAGACAACTATTAAATTTTTGTTTTTGTAGTCTGATTTGTGGTTTGATAGGAATGTATGTTATAAAAATGGAAAATAACTCACATAAATGAGACCAGAATAGTATCGGTCTTTGAGGTTGTGCAGAACGCAAGCTTCGTTCAGACAGGTGAGTTCGGCCATGTCCTCGACCTTGTCGAATTTCGGCGGATTCATCTTTTGGATGTCGTCCTTGGGCACGGTGGTCCTCTTGCCGGTCTCCTGGAGCTCCACTTCGACTTCATCACCCCGTTCTCCTTTAATACTGGCCGCGACGAAGCCCTGCGATTCATGGGGCACCCAAACTAACCTTTTCTGCGTCCATTCCGCCTGGGTGGCCGGGTCATTGTAATGATTCCTGTCCACGCAAAGAAATTTGAGTTCTGGATCGAAACGATCTTTCGTTTCCGCGTCAGCCATGACTAGGGAAACAACAAAAAACCGCACTCACACAGAAAAAACAAGTGTCGATCACAAAGGAAATCACATCTACTGTCGGTCTACGATGGAAGAAAATTCTCGGGTTCGCGCTCGTATGGAAAAATAATGCAATTTACAACGCAATACGGTTTTTCTTTTACTATAAGGACCGGTTTTGTTTCTTTACTTAAGTTGGGCACCGATCTCTCACCGTATGCGAATGACAGTTTCGCTTTGAGTCCTAGTTGAAGTTGGCTGTTGTGTTCGAAGTCGAGTCAGCAGTCGCGACGTTGCCGGTTCCACTCACTTGATTTCTGTTAGCAATTTATTTCGACCACGCCTCAAAATTCGTTGGGTAAAATATAAAATGAATACAGTATCAAAAAATTAAATTACAAAAATATGTTCGTAAAGCTTCTTATAGGTAATGTTTGTTGATCGATAATTAATATAAAAGAAGATATTTTTAAGTAGTAAGAAAATAGTGCTTTTTGTTTTAACATATTCGTCAGAGAACAAAATCAATAAAAAAATGAGGATACCTACCTATATGATAAAACTGTAATTGAAAACGACAAAAACATAAAACTAATTAACTAAAACTGAGATGCATTAATATATGAAATATATAAAGATTAACAAAAGAATAAGGGAAATGTGCCTATGATAGACTCATTAAGGAAAAAGCCCATATATGCGCTTATGATGGTCCCGTTGCATTTCGTATAAAATAAGTAAATACCAAATTATTTTATTAAACCAAAAGATATTCTAGACGATAAATAATATTACAAATAGGTATTTTTAAGAAAAAAGTTACATGCACAATTCACACACAAATTGTTCAGGTCCAGGATTTACATCTGCACATTTATTGTGACACGAATTCTTACACCCTTGACAACGAATCCATTTTTCTTTGGATCATGAATGCGAAAATAATTTGTTACAGTAAATGAAAGCTGCACCGTCTGAGTAGTCTTCTTCAAAAGAAGATTCACAATCGTCTTCAGAACTGTGTGTAGTTGAAACACGAACTTGTCTTTTCACTTTTCTTGGGTCTTGTTTTCATTTTTTGCTTCTTTTTATGCATTTTTTTGTTTTATATCATCAATTTCTGGCGTTGAATTTAAATATCCTGTTTCACCCCGTTTTCTACCCCTTTACTGAGCTACTTCAGATACTCCAGCTAAAGGAGGACAAATATCTTCGACCGAGATGTTTAGGACTGACGATGATGTTGACTTGTGATCAATGATTTTTGAACTTGTAAAACTTGGTTGGTTTTAGAAGCCTTTGAATACCTTAAAATGTTGCAGCCAGAGACAGAAAATGCCGGAAGTCATCCATCCTTTTTCTTGAGCGAAGGCTACACTTCCAGTAGGTGCATCGATCATAAGTTCGTCTTTCTTTCTCTGTCGAGGAGAAACATATGTTACAATTGCATTCATTGCACATACGACCGTAACATGTAGACCGCGCTCTGCACTACTTAAAGCACCAACTTGTTTGCGACCTTTACTAGTATAAATCTTCTGCGATCTCTTTTGCACAGTTGTCAAACTGGACTCGTCCATGTTATAAATGTTTTTCGATGAAAATTGAAACTCGTCTAATATATGTGCTAATACTGTAAAATAGGCACATATATTTGGTTTATTAAAAGCTTGAGCCCTTGCCAACAAAGTATTTTCTGGAGTTCGTAATGATATTCAACGATTTCGCTTTAAAAAGCCTCTGACCCATTTCCAGCTGGTTTCCTTATTAAAACTGTGGCTGAAATTATTGTTTCTTTCAGCTACTTCGTATACAAGTTTTCGTAAATCTTTACTGGTCAGGCCAAAAACGAACTTCCATGGTGATAATATGGTCAGCAGTTTCCTTTTCAATAGCAGTGGAAAATATTGGTCTTCGTCCTCCCAAATCACCTTTGGTACTTCTTTGTTGCTTATTAAAGCGCCTTTTCAAAGTCGTTTTTGGAACTTTAAATGTTTTTGCTGCCAGCTTAAACCCCATAGTTTTTTATTGTATGCTTTTTAAAGCTTGCTGCATATTACTCTCATTCTACTGTTGCATTATATGAGTTGGTATGTCTGTTTCTATTAATATTCTTTGCTTTATTTCGTCATTACTTCTCCTATTCTTGTTACTCTGCAGCATCTTCGGAGGCATTCCATCTCTGTTGCTACTATCTTACTGCTGTTTTTCTTGTTTATAATCCAATTCTCAGCACCATATGTCATAATACTTCGCGCTAATGTTTTATAAATCTGTGTTTTTGTGTACATATTTAGGTGTCTATCCCACCATACTAAGTTAAGTTGTCGGATTGCTGATCTTCTTTGTCCTAATCTTTGCGTAATTTCTTCCTCCGTTGTTGCCTTTTTAGTGATTATAAACCCCAAGTATTTGAATTTATCCTTTCCTTTGATTGTTACGTTGTCATCAATCTGTAGATCTTCTATGTCTCCTTCACTTGTAGATGGAGAATCTGTTTTCGCGAGGTTAATATCTAGGCCAGCCTTGGTATATTCTTCTTGTAGTTTCTTCATCATATAGGTGAGGTCTTCTTGGTCTTCTGCAATCACTACTTGACCGTCTGCAAAGCTTAACGTATATAGGTATTCGTTCCGTACCGGTACTCCGTACCGGTATTCTGAATATTCTGAATATATAATGAGAAAAGTACTAGACAAATGGGATGGAGGAATCAATATAGAAGGCAGAAAAATCAGCAACCTGCGGTACGCAGATCACACACTAAAGCGAATTAAGTCCAAATGTTTACCATCACTAAACGGATAAGCCGGATAAGCGAAGAATTCGGACTTCAGATCAACTCCGGAAAAATAAAAATAATGATCGTGGACAGAGCAAATAATAATCTACCGCACATACACCAAGTGGCGAATTTCGAAGTGGTAGACAGATTTGTATACTTGGGCTCCCTGATAACCAAAACTTGTGGTGGCTGCTGGAAAATCATGTGTAGATAGCAATGGCCCGAACCCATCGAGCAATAAGACAAAAGAGGGAATCTAATCCTTATGAAAAGGAGACCAAAAAAGTGGCCTCTGATGGCGGACATATCCGGAAATACGAATGCGCCAAATTTAAATTTTCCGACACTTATTAACAGTAGCTATATAATATTTTTCAGAATGTGTCTTAGACGAGAAAGTTTTAATTAATTATTAACGGTAATAGTCTAAAATGCGACACAATTGTTAAAAAACTTCAATATAAATAGGATTTCGTGTGACATTTGGGACAAACAATAACATAACCCAACTAAATTTGATGTCAAACAAGGAGAGAGACTCTCTTTCCTTGTTTAATGTGGCCTCTAAAGATCGCACTTCCTGTCTAACAATATTTTTGCCCCCACTACCTTTACATTCCCTCTTTTGTCTTTTTGCTCGATGCCCGAACCATACTATCAATTAGATTAAAATATGGAAAGAGCGAACAATAACAGGGAATACTGAGCTCAGGTTGGTCAATGCACTTAAATTTCCCATTGCTGCATACGCTGCCGAAACATGGACTGTAAAAAAATCGATAGGAGTAAGATCGAAGCTTTCGAAATGTCTGCCTATAGAAGAATTCTATGCATGTTTTGGACAGAACATATAACCAACCTGTCAATTCTGGAAAAGCTTCATACTACAACAGACTATTAAAAAAAGTAAGCCAAGCATACCTAATTTACTTCGGCCACATAGCTAGAAGAACGAGGACCATGGAACTATTGTTAGTAGAAGGAAAGATAGAACGCCGAAGACCAAAAGGAAGATCTTCAACACGATGGGCAAATCAAATGGAGACTGGTATGTAGATAGCAAGCTAATAATATTAAGAGTGTCACCACGCCCTGACAAGGGCTCAAGGAATGATGAAGAGGAGAATTTTTAGTGCGCTTTAGACAGCTAAACGCTCCATGTTATAAAAAGCTTTTTCAAAATAGATAAATTCAACAAAAATCAGTGTGTGATGTTTGTTCAATAATTCAACTAGAATTTTCATTGTTAGTAAGTGGTCAGTTCTACTAAATAAGAACTACTGGTCATAATTTTTATGCCTGCCTCCTCCTTTTTATACATAATTATTGTAATGTTCCAGTTATTCGAGATATTTTTCTCTTAATATTCGATTGATGAGGGCATTGGGGTTATTTATTACAGGTTTTCCGTCATTCTTAAACATTTCCACTGTTTCACGTTAAAATTATTAATTTACGTTGGTCAGTGTATTTTTAAATTAGTTTCGTATTCCTTCTAAAAGAAATACAAAAAAACTTAGTTTTACTTATTTAAAGTGTTTGTGTCGATATTTACATAGCGTATACGTATAATAGATATTCCCTCTCTATATCTAAAATATAGAAAGATGAACCATAAGAAGACAAAGATCATGATATAGAACCTTAATATTTCCAGCTGTAATTATAGTTGTGATACATGGATGCTTTCTAACGCAGATGAAAATGGGCTGTTCATATTTGAGAGGAAAGTCCCAAAGAAAATACTAGGTCAAATAAATCAAGATGGAACTAGAACATGGAATAGAATGGAAATTAGACACCTGCCGTGGGCAGAAGAACAAGCCAAAGCAAATAAAAGCTACCCTGCACGACGTATTTTATTGGCGAAGCTGGAGGAAACTAGCAACGAGGTAGGCCAAGGCTGAGATGGAGGGATGATGAAGGTGAGAATGCCAGAAAGATCGGTGTTATCAACTGGCATCAAGCTGCACAGAATAGGATCGAATGGAGCAATCAGCTTAGGATGTTCGAGGGTCAACTCGGACCGTAGCACCAATCATGATAATGATGATCGATATCTATATATTTTACTGCCCTTTTATATCCCATTGTTTGAAGTTATTTTAGCAAAAATGGTACTAGCATCTTTCAGTCTCTCCCCAGTTATTCATTTCAAATCAGAAAGTGTGCAAACCTGGAAAATGTTTTATTTAACTGTATGAAGGCATATGTAATGGTAAATTATATATAAATATAATCATTAAGAAGCATAACTAACATGCTATATAGGTTAAAGAAATTTCTTTTAATTGTACAGGATAGATAATTAAATATCCATGAATCCCAAATGCTTTTTTGAACGTGACAACAGCGCGTCAAGAACTTTTCCTTCCATACCGGCCGAGTAAGCTCGTATTCAACAAACGGCGCCAAATGGCATTCAAATCGATTTTTATCTGCGGATTGAAAAGTGGAT